CAGAGAATCCTTTTAAGAGTTTCATAGCCTAAAAAATTAAACATGACAGAATGCCAATCTACCCTTCAGAAAAGGATTTCTGCAGACACACACAGTTATTTTTAAAATCCCTTTTCTAAAATCAAACAATTCAAAAGCCATTGGTGCTTCAGGTTTGCTGGTCTGATACAGCCTGGTAGAACCACTGAGACTATGGCCCCTAGCTGCCCTTCAGGTGTGGAACTGAACCCACACCTTTGGCTTCCAACCAAATAAAAGACAGGCATATGAGTTGAACATGTCCCTGAGGTAGATACACTCCTTGGAGAGAACAATCATGGGTGAAAGAAGGGCTGTGTATACACAGGGAGACAGTTCAGGGGGCAGGAGTGCATGGAAAGATGGACACAGAGAAGAGGTAACTATCGGGAGAAAATGGGAGGAGAGCTGTTGCATTGTGGTAAATTGTAGTCAATGTCATGAGACAAAGTGTATGTGAACTGCTGTAGGGAAAGTGAATTTGCTCTGAAATTTTCACCCAAATCACAATTAAAAAAAAGAAAAAGAAAAGCCATTGGTGCTATCTTCAGAAGTTAAAAGGCTATTGGTAGAATTGTCAGATTTAGGAAATAAAAATATAGAATGTCCAGTTAAATGTGAATTTCAGATGAACAATGAACAACTCTTAAATATAAGCATGCTCCAAATATTGCATATTTTTAGTATAAGCACGTCCCATGCAATATTTGGGACATATTTATACTAAAGAAGTATTTTTTATCTAATTGTTGAGAAATTTACATTTAGCCAGGCATCCTGTGTTTTACCTGGTAAACTTAATACTGGGGAGAGTTATTTGGCCATTTCCTCCACTACTCTGAGGAGCAAAGGGCCACAAGGTTAGGAATGATCATGGCAAAAGGAGAATTGAGCCTTTCTTCTGCTCTGTGGATTTCTACTCTGTCTGCTTAAGCACTGAAAGATACTGTGAAAAGCATTTAAACGTATTTCCAATTATTTAGAATGATAATGATTAATTGTGCTAAATAAAAGTATACTTTGTTTGGATCTCTAGCGTTGGTTTGTATAGGGGCTAAGAGTGTAGGATTAACTACACGGATTTCTATACCTAAAGAACTTGTTTCTCTTGCTAGGTTTGCTAGTTCTGGTGATGAATGAACAAACTTGATTTGGTAAAGCAGTTTGAGGATTTTAAAGATGCTCTATGAAAAGATTTTTTTTTCTAATGAAGTTATTACTCACTCCTTCCATTAAAGGTTTACTCCCATTTCTCTGCTTTTATAGCCTGTAATACTATGTCAGATCTCCAAGGTAGAAGGTTGCTTCTAATGGACTCTGTTACCTAGTACTCCAGAGGTAGGTTGAAAACAGCAATGTTGCTGAGTCTGGTTTAAGAACTAATGGAGAGAACATTCCTTCAGCATCAGCTGATGCTTTGCAGCACAGGATTCTATTACCCTCATTTGAGCTGCCTGACTATTCTAGTAATCAGATCGTTCTGTCGCCTTCCTGTCACCTGGCCTTGACATTAGCTATCATGTGCCCTTTCTGCCTTGACTCCTAGGTACACAGTTCTTCTTTCATATTCTTTAAACACAAATCCTAGAATATTGTAAATTCTAGGGCATTTACACAGCTTATGACAATACTGGAATAGAACATTTGAAATCAGGACTGTCCTGTGAAATCTAGGACATGTGGTCCCCCTAATATTTCAACATTTGTTCTCAATTACCTTGGACAGCAAGGCTATTTGGAAAGGAGACAGGACTGAGAGTCAGAAATTCTCATCATGGCTCTTGTCATTGCTTTGCAGTTTACCTTGAAAAAATTCCTCCATCTAACACTGTCCCGTGTCAGTTTCTGATCTTCTTTTATTCAAAGCCCTCTCTAACAATAGTAAGAAGAAAGCAAAAGGAATTCATTCCCAATTTACTTTTGCTACCCTTAAAATTTAAAATCTGAATACTAGGGTTTGTAACATGGTATTCTGGTCTCTGCTCCTTTACCATGTAACTTATCGTGGGAAAAAAAAAACAGTCCTTAAAGACTGCACCTTTTTAATTCCTGGTTTAAAAGGATCAAATGCAACTTGTAAAAACCAAGCAACTTGTAAAAAGCAAGACTTAAGTCAATTTGGACAGAACTAAGGTGTTTAAAGGAGCTCTGGTAGCATAGTGGCTAAAGCACTTGACTGCTAACCAGAAGGCTGG